CAGATTTAATACAGGATGTGCAGGTTTTTAATTATTTTTAATTATAAAAAAAAAAATTTAAAAAAAAAAAACAGGTTTTGCCACCGGTTTTTTCAATGAACCGGTGGCCAAAATTAATTTACAAAATGGTGCGCAAGAACTTCTGCCACCGGTTCACTGTGAAAACCGGTGGGGAATGGTGAAGTTTTGCCAGCGGTTCATGTTAAAACCGGTGGCAAAAGTGCTTAGATTAAACCCAAATCAGCAACTTTTGCCACCGGTTCACCCCAAAACCGGTGGGGAAAGTAATTTTTGCCACCGGTTTTAAACCGGTGGCTTATCTTTGACGGTTTGCCACCCCCCAAATCAAGAACGGTTCAAAACCGGTGGGGAATGGGGGGTTTGAACCGGTGGGGATTGGGGTTTTTCGTCTAGTGAATGCCTCAAGCACACTTTTTTGGGATCATAAATGGGCAACTAACAAGCGGTTAAGTGATCTTGTAACTCAGCCCGTACCTGTAGTGTTGGTTGGCGCTACAGTTGAGGAAATGTATGAAGATGGTCAAGGCTGGAGGTGGAATATATTTGCTCCATATTTAGATCAAGATACCCTCAAATTGATTCAACACCATGTGGTGTGTGCTGATCCGAATATAGGTGACTTAATCTATTGGCAGGAGGGTGGTAAGGGCAAATTCTCGATCAAATTTGCCCTTAGCATTATGAGGCATGAGTCAGATGTGCTCGACGAGGAATGTTGGAAGAGAATATGGGAGGCCCCTGTACAGCAACGCGTTAGAGCATTCCTTTGGCTAGCATGTCATGACTGAATTCTTGGTAATCTGAATAGATTTAAGCGCCGCATCACAGATTCTCCTCAATGTCACATTTGTGGCCATGAAGAGGAAAGCATGATGCACATCTTGATGGATTGCCCAGCAACAAAACAGGTATGGCGCATGGTTTTAACTACGAATTTATATCAGAATTTTTTCCAGAGTAATTTGAAGGAATGGTTAACTCATAACCTCAAAGAAACTGGAAATCCGGATGATCAAGGCTGGCCAACTTTGTTTGGTATTGTGACATGGTGGATTTGGCGTTGGAGAAATTGCTATGTTTTCAATCGGAGTGATGAAATTCCTGTGGACATTGGAGCTTTCCTACGCATAAGAGTGGATGAGGCCTTCAGAAGTTTAAATCAACAGGATAGCAATACAACTACTCCTAAGGTGCAACATTGTATAGCTTGGCAGCCTCGACAACCTCCCCTTTATGGTTGGTATGTACTCAATTGTGATGGAGCTGCTAAGGGGAGTCTAGGGATGGCAGGGGGAGGTGCAATAATTCGTGACCATGAAGGGAATTTTATTTCCGGGTTCTCAACAAACTTTGGGCGTTGTACTGCTTTCAGAGCAAAAATTTTGGCTCTAACTCGGGGTTTAGAACTTGCAAAAAACCCTTCGGATCATGCAATTGGAAGTGCAATTGGATAATCTTGCTTGTGGTCAAATCATGCAAAAAGGTTGCCCTCACACAAATGAAAGTGTTCATGAAATTAACCAATGCCTTCGTATGTTGAATTAGGGGTGAGCAAAAAATCAGGGTATCCTGAGTCGGAACTGAAACCTGTTAAAAACCGCAGGTTTCGGAAACAAAACCTGTACAAGAGGTTTTGGTTCCGGGTAACAAAATGGAGAACCTGTTGCAACAGGTTCTGGTTCAGATTTTCAATTTTTTGGAATCGGAACCTGCAGGGTACCCTGTAACCTTATAAAAGTATCACTTAATTTCAAATTATTCACCAATTCTAACTTATTTTTTAAATTATAAATATCAAAATTAAAATTATAAATATATGTATTAAATTTGTTAGACAACTACTATTAGTTTGTTTTATTTGCCAGTTGTAAACATGTAAATTAGTGACCAACCATTTTTTTGTTAAAAAAATCTTCAAAAAGTTAGTAAGTATATTACAAGACAGGGTACCCTGAATTGGAACCGGAACTTGTAGGTTCCGGTTCGAAACTTGTTCAACAGGTTCCGGTTCCCATTTTGAGGAACCTGTTGCAACAGGTTCCGGTTCCGGTTCCAGGAATTTTAACAGGGTACCCTGTTATGCTCACCCCTATGTTGAATGATGATGGTTGGGAGGTGAAAGTTGCTCACATCTACCGAGAGGGAAATCGCACTGCGAATTGGTTGGCCAACCGCGGAGTCACTCACGACACCGATATTGATATTCTTAGTTTTATTCCGTCTAGTCTTTCTAGTATTCTAGAGGAGGATATTAGGGGAGTGGCCTTCCCACGCCTAATACCTTCTTAGTGTGTTTTTTTATTTCTTTTTTGTTTCGTTTTCTCTGTTTTGTGTTTGTGGTGCTTGGTTTATATTTCACTTGGCTTTAGCCTCATTCGAAGAATAAAAAAAAAAGAAGAAGAAGAAGTAAGGTAAGGATAAAATGAATAAAATATCGAGAGTGAGTAAAAAAAGATGGATAAATGAGAGGGTGAGATGGTTAAATATACCAAGTACGAAATATTTGTTAAAAATGAATAAAAGTAAACGTGATTAGAATTAAAAAAAACATTCTTAAACATATGAAACAATGTTAATAAAATATTCAATTGCTCATGTAGTTTCTCATTATTATTTTTGTTTTTAAATTTAAAGTTTAATACTCTCTGTATGCATGTATTCTTTTGAGTTAATGATGAACAATATAAATTAAGATTACCTTTTTAAATTACATTGGTATTTCCTTAATTAATTTGTATCCTTGGTGATTGTAGATAGTTAGAAGGGCTATCTTAATCTAATGAGATCACACTTGATAATGGTTAAAATATTTTTAGTTAAATTAAACATTCAAATCAGGTCAAAAACATTCAAATCGACCAAACCAGACTTTACAAAATTTATATCAGAACACTTTAAATAAGGTGAAGAGAACAAGCAAAGCTTCCAAATAAGGCATTGAACAATTATTTTATTTTTTTCTTTATCCATATTAGTATTAAAAAAATAAAAAAAAAAGAAATTGGGGAAAAAAATAAAATAAAAATGAGCCTAGTAAAATAACCTAGTCTGATTTTTAAAATTTCGATCAAGTCTAGACATGTTTTGGATATGTGAATACTTAATATCGATTATTATAAGATGCATGATTATTGAATGAATAAAACATCAACATATAAATTTCTCAATAGTGTATACAACATATACACTTTTAAAATTAGCTATGTATGTAGTTGTTTTGTTAAAAAGGTGAATTGCTACCGTAGCATGCAAGATGACACATCTCAATACTTTCAATCCTCTACGTAAAAACAGGAATATAAAGTTTGAAACTTATGTAGAATTAAACAATAATCTCATTAGACGCAACAGATTGTGTAGATATAGACAAGTCATTAAAGATATTCACCCGACAAAAAACAATAATCTTTAGTGATGTTTTTCTTCAAAAAAGTTATATAAATGTTTTTTTTTTTTTTTTTTTTTTTTTTTTTTTTTTTTTTTTTTTTAATACTAACTTAAAAGTCTCACAATCAATATACAAGTTATAGATCTTACAATTAACCTTGAATTCCATATTTGTCAACCAATAAAAGTTATTCAATATTACCTTATCCGTCCTTAAAATTTTCAAAATATACTTCTCTCAAGGGTTGAAGGACAATCCTTACAAATAGGCCAATCTTTGTTTGACACAAGACATGATAGTTGAAGAATTATGATTTTGATTACATCAAAAGATACATTCCTTATGATGTTATACTACGTTTATGCTTAGTGTACTCCATTATTGCATAATTACATTGTTTTGAATTGAGTTATTAAGGTAGCATGAAAGTTGACACGTTTCGACCATATAATGAAATTAATCATGTTAACTTTGAAACTTATAAAGAAAGAAGCGATCTCATTATATATATCATATTGTGAAGATAGATATAGTCAATTAAGTCCTTAAAGATATTAGTAGGACAAACAATCACCGTACATACCACAATTGACCATGAATTTCATAATTGAAAACCAATAAGAGAATTAAAGTTGTGCAATGCTTCGCTATTCATTGTTAACATTTTAAAATATACATTTTTTTTTTAGTATATTGCAATAAAACCAAAGTATGAGTACAAGAGTTGTGATAACCCTTAAAATTCATAAATGTGTACATTACTCACAAGTCGCAATTTAGAAACATTGATCACCATTTTCTACATTGTTGTTTAATATTGACTCTCATCCTATACATTGTAATGAAAGATGTAAAATTACCCCGTTTTAACACAGAGATTATTTCTAATTGACCTTTGTAAAATTCATACTAATATTGTATTTAATATTTTGTTTGAAGTAGTCTCATCTAATCCACAATTTACCAAAAAGTCAAACAAATCAGAATTCACAAAAAAAAAAACAAAAAAAAACTCAAATCCTTGTTGTATAAGTGACGTGGCAAAAGGTAAGAATTTAGTAATTTCCAATTTTATTTATTTATTTTTAATAAAAAAGCACTTTCCAGAAATGATCCTGACCGTCTATGACTACAGAGTCCATCTTTCTTCTCTCCTTTAAATTCACAGTAGAGAGAGAAAAAAGAGAAGAGAAGGAAAATAAAGAAAGCAAAGAAAGAAAAGAAAAGAAAGAGTATTTCAGAAGCTCTCTTTCTCTCTCTTCACTCACTAACTATGCTTCGCTGATTTTGATGCATTTTACAGTAACAAAGAAGAACAATTAGAGAGAGAAAGAGTGGAAGACAAGTCTTTTTTTTTGACATTTTTATTTTTTTTTGCTTCTTTTGTTCATCCTTTGTTTTTTCCCTTTTTTTTAACACCCTTTAATTTCTTCTCCCAGAAAAATACATTTCTCCCTCATTTTGGGTTTTTTTTTCTCTCCTAATTTTCTTGGGGTTGTTTTGTTTTTTAAAACAATTTTTTGGGTTTATTTTATTTTATTAAACTGAGGAAAATCAATTAATCAAATCAAAAGGTATGTACTCTTCTTTCTCTCTCTTATGATTTTGCTCACTTCACTTTAGCTCATGATTAGAGTTATAATCTTTAGATTAACAACATTTAATCATCATTTTTGTTTGATTTTTGTTTTTTATTTGAACCCCATTTGTTGTATTTAGTGATTTTAAGTACTTTGTATAATTTTTATCTTGATCGGTTGTTGAACTGATGGATACAGTTGTATGGGTGATTTTCATGTTTTTTTCTAGAATTTTTGGGAATATTTGAATTTTTTTTTTTTTTTCTGGTAATAATTAGGACCTTGGAAAATGGGATAATCTGGGCAACAATTTCAATGATCTAATTTGTTCTTCATTATGGGTTTTTATCTAATTTTATCTGCATTTGCTTGAATTTTTCTGGGTTTTTTTTAAATTTTTTTTTTTTTTTTTTTTTTTTTTTTTTATAACATTTCCTCCTATTTTCAGTTCCTAGATTTGCATGTTATTTCCCCCTCCTTTTTATACTGTTTTTAATTTTATTTTTTTGGAATTTTATTTTTCTGGGTTTGATGATATATGTATTGTTTAATATACACTTTCTACCCAATTGTTGATATGATTTTCTGTGAATTATTAATACAGATTTTGGAAATTTATATGATAATGTTGAAGAAGAGGAGTAGATCAATTCAGCAAGAACAACAAATAATGGGGGGTCAAATAACATCAGATGGAGGTTCTGAAACTTGTTTACAGGCTGAAATTTTAGGGCAAAGACAAAAGACCAACTCTTTTTTTAATGTTCCTGGTCTATTTGTAGGATTAACCCCAAAAGTTGCTTCAGATTGTGACTCAGTTAGAAGCCCAACTTCACCTCTTGATTTTAAGTTGTTCTGTAATTTGGGCACTTGTTTTAGGTTCCCTAAATCCTCTTTAGAAGTGCACCAAAAGTGTTGGGAATGTCACAAGGTTGGACTTGGAAGCATTGTGGATTCACTTGATGATGATGACAGGAACTTAACTGAGAAGGATAAAGTTATGCCTTCATCTAATAGTAAGACTATACTGTTTGGGTCTCAGATTAGGAGTAAAGGAGCCCCAAACTCGCCCACCAACCGTGTCGATTTTTGTGAGTCGTCGCCTAAGTCGTTGCCAAAAAACTATGCAATTTTCCCCCATGCTAGGTTGATGAAGCCTTCTAATCTTCAGAAGGGTAGCTCTGATGTTTTATTTGAGATTGGAGGGGACCCTTTAGAGTCTGACCCTTTTGGGAAGATCCAGTCTTTTTCTTTGGATTCTAAGAGGCTAGGGTCAGAGATGTATAGGCTGAAGTCTCGTAATGTAGAGTCGAGGACCAAGCGTTCTTGTTTTGAGAACGAGACAATGGAGAAGTGTTTGAGTTTTGACTGGATTGGAGGAGGTCTGGATGCCGAGAATAAGCTGACTACAGGTACAATGGCGATTCCTTCTTGCAATGAGATGGCTCGGTCTCTTACCCCTGAAGAGATTGAGCTCTCAGAGGACTATACATGTGTGATTTCGCATGGTCCCAATCCCAAAACCACTCATATTTTTGGTGACTTTGTTTTGAAAAGTCACCCCAATGAAATTGATCCTGAAAATAAGAAAGAAAGTTTAGAGACCAAAATGCCTTGTATGGAAAACTGTTTGCAGATATCTGCACCATCACCATACCCTTCAAACGATTTCTTGAGCTGCTGCTACTTTTGCAAGAAGAAGCTGGAAGAGGGAAAAGACATTTATATGTATAGGTTCGTCCGAGTACCTTACTTTCAGCTAACCTTCTAGTTGTTGAGTTGTGATTATCTTGTCATTGCAGCATCCCTAAGCTGTGTATTTAACCTTGTTGCAGAGGTGAGAAAGCTTTCTGCAGCTGGGATTGCCGTTTGGAGGAGATCTCCAATGAGGAGGAGCAAGAGAAATCTATCACCGGAGATTCTCCCAAGGCGGAAACTGGTGATGACATTTTTGAGAAAAGCATGTTCGTTGCTATATAGAGAAATTATTAATTGCTTTCCTTGAAGTCATTATGCCCATGATTGATGAAACTGCCAATGTTTGATCATCTGATAATAAAGAGCTGTATCTTTTGTATATCTATAAGCAGCCTCGGGTGTTCACTGTATGGCGTGTTAGTAAAACCTTTTGTTGCAATTCATCTCTCATGGTTCTAATGACTTTTGGATAGCAAATCGGCTAGATCCTATAATTTTGACCGTAGTTATAAAAGCCGGGGATGGCTTCTTTTGCCATTTCTGCTTCTATCCTCTCCTGGCTTCTCCAGGAACTGTGAAAGACCCAAAAAAAAAAGAAGTGTTTTTTGTTCCTTCTTTTTGATTCACCATTTTGAAAGGAGTTGATGTATAAGCCTCCCATATGGACAAATTATTGAGATTATTATATAGTATTTTGGATATAAACCTTGATCATTTTGCTGGATATGATTCATATATAATTACAGATTGTTGTTTGATGTACATTATCATGAATATCATCATATATTACATCTTTGTCTTACAGTTGAGGCCTCGCGTGAATGTCCAAGGTATTTGCATCTCTGCATCTTATTAACAGAAACTGTTTTTCAGTTTCTTTTTTTCCCAGCTATCACATACATGTAACGTTATCATTATCATATACATGTAACGTTACGTTACACCCGTATAATTAACAATTTACCATAGTTGAAGAAAAGAAGTATCTTGCTAAAGACTTGATCAAAAACTGCATCAGCATAGGGTTGTTGAGAGATCTTATTACCCAACCCTGTATTTTTCATTAATTTCAAATCAATCTTTTTCTTGTTGTTGAATTATTTGCTTTACACTTTATTTGATACAAAAGTTGAGCAAATTTAAGATTTCCCTTGGCATTTTTAGTGTATGTGTTTGTTTATTTGGGACCCAGGTTTTCTATATCTGCATAGGTGGGGGAATCAGGGTAGTACAGTTTGTCAGTTATGAATTAATATGTATGACAGAAAATGCATACTTTCATGACCATGCAATTCATTGCAAAATCTAGGACATAAAATATTGATGCAATTTGCAATGATTCTCACTTCTTTAACGCTAAGGTGCAGCAGAAGCTTATAGTAGTAGTGTTTCCCACTCATTTTGTAGTTTTCCCAGGTTAGTAATGTCTGATCAAGGTTAACACTTAACACTTTTTGGTAACGAAATCGAGAAACGATAAACAACCGTTTAGAAGTCGTATTACCATGAACCTAGAGATTCTTCCTGCAAAAATTACATACATAACTTCTCCGTATTACTGCATTTACTATCGCCTATCTAATTAACCATCCTTGTTTGTTGAAGAATTGTTTAAAAGTTTTACCTTGAACATTGAGATTTTCCGAGCTAAACTACATACAAAACCATTACTATTACTACATTTATCATCGCCTTTTAACCGACCATTCTTATTTGTTGAGGGTATAATCATTTAAATGTCGTATTTTACTATAAACAATAAGATATTCTGATCAAAATTACATACAAAACCATTACTAGCTACTAGTGTATTTATTATGCCTACTTAATTGACCATCCTTGTTCGTTGAAAAACTGTTTAGAAGTTTTACCATGAACATTGAGATTTTCCGAGCAAAAACTACATAAATCATTATTATTATTGCATTTGTTATCGCCTATCTAACTGAGCATCCTTGTTCGTTGAAGCTAAACTACCATTTAGAAGTCGTATTACTATGAACATTAAGATTTTCCGAGCAAAAGTATATAGAAAATCATTACTAATACTGCATATATTATCATCCTTGTTCATTGAAGGATTGGCGTATTGGTTATTGTCCACATCATCCTCCTCTCCCCTTTGAGATTTATTGAACAAAATTACGTACGAAGCCATTACTATGAACATTAAGATGTTTTAGTATGGACTATGGAGTACTACTAAACAATGGAAAAACAAAATTTCTACTCTTTAAAATATGATAGAAAAAATTAGTCATAAGCTCATAACGTCAGTAATAGAACCTTGTTATAGGGAATTTCCTGTAGTTTGGGCTTCACGTGCAACCTCGTTCTATGTGTTGCAACACATTTTATTTTTTTTATATATTTTTTTAATAATCTAATATGGTCCGTCGTATGTTATATATATGCATTTAAACAGAGTTACCTTTGACAATCACAATAAATAATTTCTTGGTAAAATGCTGTTTTCACTTTACCAAAAAAAAAATAAAAAAATAAAAAAAAAAATTGTTGGTGACATACTGACATTTAGTAGCAGTAGTTTTCTTTTCTTGTAAAGGGGTGATTTCTTAACTTGTAAGTGTATTAATTTTCATGTACAGATTTGAGACTAGCAAATTTGTGTGTTACAAGCAATTTATAGAGGTATGATTATGACATAAAACCATATAAGTTCAGCAAGCATGCCCTCAAAAATAAGTTCACATATTCACCACAGGTTTCTTTGTTAAAACGTGATCAAAGTTAATCATTAGTTAATTTCTGTAAAATGATCCAATCTCGGTTTTTTGGACTAATTATTTCTCCATGAACCAACCACCTCTTAATCATGTGAGAGGTGTTGGGAAGTACTATGTTTTGTTCAGATGTACTAGTAAATAGATGACACCCTCTGTCTGAGGTGTTATCCGGTATATTTTCCGAAAGCAAACCAGACAAAGTATTTCTCAGGTGAAATTTTAACTGAGCAATTTCTCTAGATTATGATTTTAAAGATTTCAAGTTTAATCCAAGGAGATAGTAAACCTGAAATCAAAGTAAATTGAGCTCAACAGTACCTGGAGCTCTGCTGTATAGCGTACAAGATACAACACATTGAATCATACAAAAGACCAGACATAAACTTAAATAATACAGTTTGTACTAGGCGGAAGGTGACAAAATTGCAGCTACTCGAAGGCCTCAACCGAGCTTGGTTACATAGTTTGCAAATTTCCCATTCCAAACACCAATCATACAACCAGTTGCTCTGGAGCCAAACAAGGGGTAGGCACCAACATATCCATCGGAAGAAATCATACGGTACTCAACAATAGCCACATTTCAACCTAATTGGCGAGTGTTGTAAGATTTGCAGTTTGGGCACTTTTGAGCCACGATATGGTACTGAACGCAAGATTTTGACCCACAATCATTGCAAAGGATAGAGACCTGCATAAAAAAAATTTATGATTAGTTATTAGAGAAGCAAATCTTGAACCTAACAAATTTGCACAGTAAGCAGAAGAAGATATGCTTCTAAATCAGGATTAAGTTGCATCTTCCAGGCTGCCACACAATTATAGGTAGCAAAGACAACGAATTACTCACCATCTTATTCTGGTAAGGTTCTGGCATTGGAGTTGCGGCAATTTCCACGTCAAATTTCTCCCACACCTTTGACATGTCACAAACCGATTTTGAGCATAGGGGGCAAGCATACCTGCAAGACGAGATCATACAATGGTCCATTTAACATCCCATTCCATACAAACTGCAATTACACAAATACGTAGAGCATTGGAACCAAAAAACTCACTGATAGTGCTCCTTCATTTCATCCAAGCAGTTTTTGTGGATCGTGTGTCCACATGGCAATACTGTGATATCATATCTGGACTCAAACAAGTACTGAAAACAGAATCATATTAACACATTATTAGCTTCTGAGGAATTCATATTTCACAAATAGCTACATTTAAAAAATGCTAGAAAACAGGTCATATATACCATACCTCAAAGCACACGGGACAGTCATGATGCATTGCCCCCTCTACACAAGGATGACTATTTTTCAAGACCATGGAATAGCAGCAACCGCATTTGTAACAGTGAAAGAAATTTTCCCGTCCTCCAATTCTGTACAAAGTCAAAACTTGTTATAAGCCTGCTCAAGACAATCATCACAGTGCATACAAGTAACACCAGGGGCATTAATAACAATGCTCCTAATGTCATATAAATGGTTAATAATCATCACATTTCCCAATGGCATTGAGATTTCAGGGATCTTTAAGGAGTTTTTGAGTGATGTAAGATCATAAGAGAACAATCAATGTGAGACATTTCAAAATGGAAAGGGGAACAAATTAAGTAGGGACAGAATGAGTAAAGCAAGCTATTGAACTAATATTCAAGCAAAGAATGCAATCTATATCAATTAAACTCATACCTGCAGATTCCACACCCTTCACAGTGGTACTGCTTCTTAGATACCTGCAAAATCACCAAAACTATGAGTTAGGGAAACACATTACAGGGCTAATGTGGCAAGTCTCTATCACATATAGTTTCCATTTATTAAACTGAGACCATAACTTGAAATCATCCACACTCATACAGCTCCTAGTTTTCTACTGTATTAATTATAACATAATCTCTCTATGGGTTCTTAAAATCTAGCTTCAAATGTTTAAGTTTAACATATTACAGTCTGTAGTCATTGGTTCAGCTTGACTTGAAACTTGAAAGCAAAGATTTATGCTGTCCAAATTACACGACAATAAATTTTTTTGAAAGATATTCTGCAGAAACACGGAAGCCTGGTATTATGAAGAAAAAAGCTACTTACATCATCATCATATAGCTTGCATGTCTCACAAAAATATTTGCCCATGCAAACACCACAATTGATACACACTTGTTGAACCTGGATAGACATCATCCAACAACATTAAAATCCAATCAAAGTCAACATCTTGAACCATTATAGGCTTCACAATTGGGCCAGAAAGCTCAAAAATTAGAGATCAGACAAACCTCTTGTTCAGTACCACAAAGAGAGCAGATCACCTATTTAAACATAGTAGGAAGACAAGGTCAGTCAATAAAACATTGAATAACAACACTAGCTCAAATATGAACTCCTATTAGCATACATTTTCATAAAAATTCTACCTGCTGAACTTGACGTCGAGGAATGTCATGCCTCTTTGTCTTTTCAAGCTTGATGTTGTTCTGCATATCAATAAGACATAAGAATAAGTCAAGTAAAACAGGGAGAAAAATAAATGCCTCAGCTCAGTATATTGTTCTGCATATCAATAGGATCTATGTAAAAATCTTGCAAAACAGGGAGCAATTGACGGGGTAGTCCGGAATCCTGGCTAGTGGCTGTGGTCAAAGTTCATAAATACACAATGAAAATTATCCTTACAGACTCCATAAACTCAAATAACAATTAGAAACTTGTATTTACTTCCATCCCAATAATAACTTCACACTTGACATAGAGATTAAGAATAGTTGTTTAAAAGTATAACAAATATTTTGGAAGTGATAGAAAGAGAAATAAATAAACAATAAAGTGTTACGAGAGAGAAAAAGCATTGATGGGTCAAAGAGAGAAACAGGAAGATTACTCCATAACAATTGATATTGAAATGTAACATTAAATGGTGGAATTTACTTTAATAGAAAGGCACAGTAGTAAAATTTTGTAAGGGAAGTCTGGTGCCAACATCTCTTTTCCATCACAAATTTGAAATTTCTA